AGAGCCACTTATTCCTTTGGTAGTTGGTTGTAATATCATACTGTAGTTTTGTTTTTATTTTTGTCATATGAATTACTGTTTTGCATGTGTGGTGAAAACGACTTTAAAAAACAATGTTCATTTTGCAAATGAATGCTATGTACATTAGGATAGTGCAGCACATTACTTTTCATTTAGCACCCAAAGAATTTATATTTCCTATTATTGAATAATGTAATTTCTATAACTCGATTTTCTTATAATTGATTGATAGGACTCTTGGAACGATTTTTTATTATCAATTATTCTGATATATATTTTATTTTTTCTCACATGACCTGTGATGAAGAAACCTAATAACTTTATAACTTGTTATTTATTTGTTTCTAGCTTTTAGCTATTATGAATAAAGATGTTAGAAACATGCTTATAACAATACCATTCACATTAATACTACTAAAAAATGAAATACTTAGGTATAAATCTAACCAAATATGCACAAGATCTATATGATGAAAACATAAAACTCTGATGAAATAAATCAAAGAAGAACTAAATAATGGAGAGATTTTCATGGATAGGAAGATTCAATATTGTCAAGATGTCCATTCTTCCCTAGTTAACTACAGATTCAATGCAATCTCAATAAAAACCCCAGCAAATTATTTTATGGATATAAACAAACTGATTCTAAAGTTTATATGGCAAGGCAAAAGGCCAAAACAATCAAAACAATATTGAAGAAGAAAAAAGTTGGAGGATTGACACTACCTGACTTCAAAACTTACTGTAAAGCTAAAATAAGCAAGAGAGTGTGGTACTGGTGAAAGAACAGACTGATAGATCAATGGAACAGAATAAAAAGCCCCCAGATAGACCCTTATAAATATAGCCAACTGATCTTTGACAAACGAACAAAGGCAATAATACAATGGAGCAAAGGCAGTCTCTTCAACAAGTGGTGCTGGAACTAGACGTCACGTGCAAAAAAAAAAAATGACTCTAGATGTGGAACTTATACACTTCAAAAAATTCACTCTAGATGGATCATAGCCCTAAATATAAAACACAATACTACAGAATTCCTAGACGATAACACAGGAGGAAACTTAGATGACCTTGGATACGATAATGCCTTTTTTAGATACAAAACCAAAGACACAGTCAAGAAAGAAATAATTGATAAGGTAGACTTCATTAAAACTACAAACTTCTGTTCTTCAAAAGCCAATGTCAAGAATAATTAGAAGACAAGCTACATACTGGAAGAAAACATTTGCAAAAGACACATCTGATAAAGGATTGTTAGCCAGAATATACAAAGAATTCTTAAAACTCAACAATGAGAAAACAAACCCAATTTAAAAATGGACCAGTGACCTTAACAGAAACCTCATTAAAGAAGATATACAGATAGCAAATTAATACATAAAAAGACACACCACATTTTATGGCATGAGGGAAATACAAATTAACACATGAATGACAGACCAATATGGGCTTATTAGAATAACCAAAATTCAAAAAACTAACAATACCAAAGGCTGACAAGCACATGGAGCAACAGGAACTCTCATTCATTGCTGGTGGGAATGCAAAATGGTACAGTCACTCTGTTTCTTTTTTTAAATATAGATATTTTTATTAATTTTTCAATCCCAGTTGTCATGCAATATTGTATTAGCTTCAGGTGTACAATATAGTGATAAGACATTTATATAACTTACAAACTGATCACCCTGAGACATCTAGAACCCATCTGACATCATACAAATGAGGTGTGATCACAAAATACAGTGAATATTCAAATTAAAAAAATATTTATTACAGTAAAAAACACATTGCTATTAATACACCTCAAAATACTCCCACTTGCTTTGAATATACTTATTCCACTTTTCTTGTCACTTTCTGAAGCAGTTCTGGAGGTCCTCTTTCACGAATGTCTTTTAGTTGTGCTGTCGTGACTGCCTCAATGTCTTGAATCATTTTGACTTTGGGGAAGAGCCAGAAGTTGCATAGTGCTAGATCCCATGAGTAAGATGGATTAGGACACATCGTCGTGTTTTTATTTGACAGAAACTGCTGTACCAGAAGCGATGTGTGACATGGACCATTATCAGGATGGAGGATGAAACCATTAGCCCATTTCATGTTAATGTGTTGTTTGTGATCCATGATTTATGGCACATGTTAAAACACATCTTCTCTCAATGATAGCTCACACCTGACTGACTGCACCGAACAAACTGAAACTTGTCACACACTGTTACTAAGGTTCAATGTACCACTTCCTGTATTGCAGATCCCTGCCTTTCCATGGATGGCACTCGGCAGCAGTGTTCACCTCATAGTTATTACAATATTATTGACTATATTCTTTATGCTGTAATTTACATCCCCATAACTATTTTGTAGCTACTAATTTATACCTCTTAATCCTTTCCTCCCCTTCACCTGTTCCCCAACCCCCCTCCCTTCTGCCAATCATCAAAATGTTCTTTGTATCTATAAGTTTGGTTTCTATTTTGTTAGTTAATTGTTTTTTAGTTTCCACATGTAAACGAAATAATGTGGCATTTGTTTTTTCTGTCTGACTTAACTCCACTCAGCACAATGCCTTTTAGGTCCATCCATGTTGTTGCAGATGGCAAGATTTCATTCTTTTTTATGGCTGAGTAATATTCCATTGTACATATGTACCACCTCTTCTTTATCCGTTCGTCCATTGATGGACACTAAGGTTGCCTCCATATCTTGGCTACTATAAATAAGACTGCTATTAACATATCAATGCACATGTCCTATCGAAGTAGTGTTTTGNAAAAAAAAAAGGCGTTTATCCTCCAATAAAAAACATAACCTTTAGGCATAGAAATTTTTTCCCTATCAAATTAGTGGGAAATAATTTTTAAATATTGATAAAATATATTAGTTGGGAATTATATGAAGAAACAGAAACTCGCATACACTGTATTGAGTAGAGTTATAAATTGAAACTTTTACAACTTTTGGAAGAACTATTTTGCAAGAAAAGGTATATATTCTTTAGTCCATTTGGCTCTTAAGAATATAATCTATTAATTAATTCAACAAATGGTTATACCTACTAATTCATTCAACGTATTTTACTAATACTTTTAAAAATGTGCAAACAATATATACAAGAATGCTTATTTCACATTATTTAAAATTAAAAAATGAAAACAACCTATTCAGTAGATTAAGTAAATCAATATATATCATTTTGATATGATACCAGGAAGCTTTCATCAAGACAGGTATGTACTATATTTTTTGTTTGCATATTGTCCATCAATGCAAGCTCAATGAAGGCAGAGAATTTGTCTAAGTTTCTATGCTTTTGCATATTAGGGTTACAAACCTAATAGTGTACACTGACCAAAGCATGCTGAACATGGAGCCATGACCAGGTTTCTATAGCAACTCTGACACACACAACTGTCACTAAAATATTTCTCTGAAAAATGTGTCAAATTTTATGCATCTTTCCAAGACATTTATAAAAGGAAAGGTTTGTTACCTATAAACACACTAGATATAAACAAGTTCAAGAACAATAGCTTATGCAGAAAATGCATTTTGTTTCCATCAGGAGCTATCCTGTGAAACTTGCTGCCTTCAAGTTGTACGACTTCCACAGAAAAGGGACTACTCTTCAGACCCACAGAATCTGTTCCTGATTGCAACATAGGAGAAGGAAGTGAAAAATGTGTCCCACCCTTCTTTGGCTTTACTGTCAAAGGATAATTTGAAGATAGAGATACTAATTCTCATTTAAAATTATGTCTGGAGGGTGTTGTAAATTATAGAATTTAAATGTACAACAATCTCAAAACTTAATTTACCGAGCTTTCACCCTGGACATTTTTTAAGTAGGGCACCTTTGGAACTGGGACGACTTTCCTCAACATAGGAATTTACTGTTATTGAAGCAGATTACTTCATTTTACATCTTATAAATCAAGATATCTTGACTTATCAATTTTATTTAACCCAGAATGTGTTCTGGTTGTTTTCACTAGCTTTCTTTGTGAGAGTTACCTTAACAAGACCATCTTAAAATGAACACTAATAATGGTATTTGAAATTTAGTCTCACAAGGGAAAATAACAATACATCAACTCTCAATCTGCAGGAGGTACATATTGAAATAAGGAATACTAAACATTAACAAGTCAATTGGTCAAAACAAGTTATCATAAAAAGAGCACCGCTGCATACTCTAATGCTTGATCTAAATACCTTTTCTCTGTTCAGGTTATTAATTGCTTAAGACAGGTAAAAGGCCAATTTTGGAGGGAGGATTTAATTAAACCCTTTATGAAAGAAATTTGTGTCTTTTCCACATAGAAGTTCTTCCTGAATTGAGACCTTGAGAAATCAACTGGCATCCCATCCATTGAAAAATAATTAGATTGTGGTAATACATTCAGGATTAAAAGTTCCTTTCCTGAAAAAGTTACATTCACCTTCAGGCAGTCCTTGCCTTGTGCCAGCCAAAACCTGTGCATATTGAGATGGTGACCACACTTTGTATAGTTCTGTGTTACCTGGCATCAGGACACAGTTCTGATACATTTCACGCTGTTGGGTAAAGTGAGTGTTGACTGTCCTATTGTCTTCTCAACCTGTCTGCTCAGTTTCATAGAAAAGACACCAATGTTCCTGAGGGCAGAATTTTATTTAACAAATCAAAATCTATGACTCAAATGCCTGCATTGCTCTTTGTCTCATGGAGGACTGTGAAAAATTAAACAAGAAAAGACAACAAAAACCTTTGGATTTTTTACAGTACAATAGATTGGATTCTGCGCTAAATGCCTGTTTTTTAAATTTATTTTTAATTGTACCTGACATATGATTCTGAACTAAATTCTGACCTGATTATTCTCATAGAAACAATGCATATAATTGCCTGATGTCAACCTAATATTATAATGTTGGCTTGCAAAAGATGGTGAAGCACATTCTTAGCACCAGGTAGAGTTAGTACCTACCTCAAAGCCAGGACTCAGAGGAGACTGAAACATGAAGTTGTAAGAGCAAAGGAGCAGAACAGAAGAGGGAAAAAGACAAGAAAACAGTGTTATTCGAGGAAAGCAATACATGTTACTCAATAATATTTTATATATGTTTGTTTTCAAGAATCCATCCTTGTGGCCACAGAAACATTTAAATTGAAAACTACTTTTTAACATTTAAATGGAACTATAGACACTAAGTCAAGACTGCAAAAAACAGTTTACAGTTCTGAGCTAGAAAAGGCAGAAAAAAAAAAAGCTACTTGTCATGGCGTCAGTAATGACAGACGGTTCTTTCACCTTGTTGAAAATAAATTAGAGTCGGAATGAAGCATTTTTGACCTTTAAGTGAAAGATTAGATTTTCTTCACAATAGTTCATCCTCTCAATGGGGAAAGAAAGAAAAAGGTCATCAAAGTAATCAAATGTGAGGCAGTTGCTATCTGCCTGAAGGCAAGAATACGCTGATGAATAATCAGTTTCAGTCAGTGGTTTACAAACCTAAAAAGTCCAATAGTGGGTTAGAGTTTTAATGAGAGAAATATGCCTACAGTGCATTCTTTGCTTAATTTATAGTCTTTGCTGCATATCATTGTTTTCTGAAAGATTTCATTCAAGGCTGAAGTATAATTCAAAAGTGGAAAGGTTATTCTGAATTTTTTTTTAA